TAGACTCCATCCCATTCACCACAGCTCTCCCTGCTCCATTTCAGGGAACAGCCCTAAAGTTACCACGCTCCTTCACACAACCCTGCTCACCCCAAGAGAAGAATGCCAGTACTCACCACATCGATCGCGTAGTCCAAGCTGAGGCCGGTCATTAAGTCAACAACGGTGACGCCTGGCACAGAGGGTGAGTGAAACCACACTCCACCAACAAGCAGCAGCTTTTCATTGTGCACATGTGCAGTATGTGAATACCTGTGAGTTCAAAATGGGATTGAACTCCATCAATAAGGCAGGTGGTGAGTCAGACAGGCTGAAGCTTCCCTGCGGAATGCCTCCTACTCACCTGGGGATGAGAGGTGGGTGCGTCTCCACCGTCTGCCACTGAAAGCCGCGCTCGACCTCCCTCAGAAAGAAAACTGAACCTAAGGGCTGCTCAGCTGCTCCCAGACCTCCTGCAACCAGCACTCCTCCTTTCCAGCCACACGCACTGTGAGAGTGACGGCTTTCTGGTACCGGACCCTCAACGGGAATCTAGGAAAACGTAAGTCCAAAGCTGAATTTTGACAAGCCAAGTGTTGTCTTCATGTCCAGGCTCTTAAATGATCTCCCCCTGCTGCATGTCTTGTGGGATGTGACATTCCTGCCACAGGACAGGAACAGTTGCTGGAGGGGAACAAAGTAAGCGTGATAGGGAACAATCAGATAAACCCATCCCACATCTGTGCCTCTACGGATGGCAAAGTGTAAACGGAAACACTTCTATCTACAGTATTTCTCTGGCCCTCAGTATATTTAATATCGTTCAGTCTTTAGAAGGTTTTATTTCTGCACGTTTATTAGAGGTAACTTTACTTGCATTCTTCCATGCTGCTTTCTGTTCAAGACTTGCACCTGAGAACCACAAGGTTCCGAACACACGGACCAATGCAGTGACCAGCAGAGCAGGTGATCAGCGGCCCAAACCACAGAGCATGATCAGATGCTGAACTGCAGTACTAACATGCAGAAAGAAAACCTTCAGTGCAAGCAATAAAGGAAAAAATGCAAGATGAGGGGTTTAAAAGAATATCATAGCAAACAAGCTGCAGAGAAAATTTCAGAGGCCATCTTCTGGTCCATCCCTTCCACCTAAAGCAAATTCAACCGCACCTATTAGCATCTGGAGAGACGGTTGTTTAATAGTTTCTGGAAGTCTGCAGTGACAAGCATTTCTCACCCCTTTAGGCAGTGTTCTCATATCGAAGCACCCAAAACTGCACCCCGTACTGGAGGTGGGGCCGCACCAGTGTGGTGCAGAGTGGGACAATCCCCTCCCCTGACCAGCTCGCTATGCTGTGCTTGATGCACCCCAGGACAGGGCTGGCCCTTTTGGTGGCCAGGGCACACTGGTCACTCATTTTCAACTTGTCACCAACCCAAACCCCAAGATCTCTTTCCACAGGGTTGCTCTCCGGCCCCTCATCCCCCAGTTTGTGTGTATAACCGGGACTGCTCCCTCCTAGGTACAGAATCCGGCACTTGCTCTTGTTGTATTTCATAGGGCTGGGGATTGCCCAGCTCTAGTCTATCCGGATTTCTCTGTAAGGCCTCTCTGCCCTCGAGGGAGCCCACAGCTCCTCCCAATTTAGTATCATCAGCAAACTTACTCAGGGTGCCTTTGACCCCTGCATCCAGATAATTTGTGAAAACATTGCAGAGCCCTGGCCTGTAACGGAGCCCTGCAGAACCCCACTGGTGACTGGCTGCAGCCTAGCGTAACCCCGTTTAACCCTTTGAGCCCAGCCCATCAGCTAGTTGTTCACCCTCGTATTACGGACTTGTCTAGCTGTATGCTGGACATTTTCTCCAGAAGGACACTGTGACAGTATCAAAACCTTTGCTAAAATCCAAAAATCCCACACCTACCAGCTTCTCTTGGTCAACTAGACAGATGACCTTGCCATAAAATGAAACTAAGTTAGCGTCCTGGTTTCAACTGCAAGAGAGTTAATTTTCTTCCTAGTAGCTGGTCTAGTGCTGTGTGTGTATTTAGGATGAGAATGACGCTGTTAACACACTGATGTTTTAGCTGTTGCTGAGCAGTGCTTACACTAAGTCAAAGACTTTCCGGCTCCTCGTACTGCCCTGACAGCGGGGAAGCTGGGGGTACACAAGAAGCCAGGAGAGGGCACAGCCAGGACAGCTGACCCTGACCGACCAGAGGGACATTCCGTACCATACAATGTCATGCTGACCATGCCGAGCAGTAAAACTGGGGGGAGCTGGCTCGGGGTGGTGGTGGCTGCTTGGGGACTGGCTGAGCACTGGTCACTGGCTGGTGAGCAACTGCATTGTGTGTTACTTATTTTGTACATTCTTTTATCATTATTTTTCCTTCCTTTTCTGTCCTATTAAACTTTCTTTATCTCAATCCGCAAGTTTTACCTTTTTCCCCAATCCTCTCCCCCATCCCACTGTGGGGGGAGTGAGCAAATGGCTGTGTAGTGTTTAGCTGCCTGCCAGGTTAAACCACAGCATGAACCCGTGCTTCTCAAGTGTTTTTCAATCACTCCCAGAATAAACTTCCCCATAACTTTACCAGGCACGGAAGTGAGACTGACAGGCCTGTAATTACCAGGGTCTTCCTTCTGCAGTACTGTGTCCAGGCCTGGGGCCCCCAGCACAGGAAGGACGTGGAGCTCTTGGAGCAGGTGCAGAGGAGGGCCACTAAGATGATCAGAGGGCTGGAGCACCTCTCCTATGAGGAAAGGTTGAGGGAACTGGGCTTGTTTAGCTTGGAGAAGAGAAGGCTCCGGGGAGACCTCATTGCAGCCTTCCAGTGCTTGAAAGGACCGTATAAACAGGAGGGGGAGCGACTGTTTACGAGGGTGGATAGTGATAGGACAAGGGGGAATGGTTTTAAACTAAGACGGGGAGGTTTAGGTTAGAGATCAGGAGAAAGTTTTTCACCCAAAGGGTGGTGGCACACTGGAACAGGCTGGCCCGGGGGGGCGGATGCCCCATCCCTGGAGGCATTCAAGGCCAGGCTGGATGTGGCTCTGAGCAGCCTGGTTTAGTGATTGGCGGCCCTGCATATGGTGGGGGGGTTGAAACTAGATGATCACTATGGTCCTTTTCAACCCAGGCCATTCTATGATTCCTTCTTATCCTTCCTGAAAATCAGGACATTTGCCAGCTTCCAATTGACTGGGACCTCTCCAGACTCCGAAGACCATCAAGAGTAATGGAATGAGGGTTATCCTGTGATTACATCAGCCAGTTCTTTCCTGATCAACCTGTTTTCCTTAGACGTGCTTTAAGTAAGGGTGCTGGACCACATGATCTCCAGATGTCCCTTCCAACCTTAACTGTTCCGTGAAGACTGTATTCCACTAAATAGGCAGGTGTTTGGAGTTAGCTCGAACTCTAATCACCATGGAGTGTGACAGTACTGCCAATGTCATCTGCTTCAACATGACAATACCACTGTGGCTGAGCTGGGCTTCCAATCCAGCAGCACGCACCCGCAACATGAAGGCAATTCCTACTCCCCAGGGCCTCCCCAAGTTCTTACCGCAGTGCAGGAAAGTTCTGGAGTGTGCAGGAAATACCAATCCCCTAGCACAGGCTCCATAGCAGAGCGGCCACCATACAGGAACAGATACTTCTCGCCTATGGAAAAGACAACCAGGTGAAAAGAGAAGTTAGGATTTGGTATGTCACAAAACCAAAAATGTCTGTTTGCATAGAAGGGAAGCTGACCAAAGACAGAAATTAATGCAGTCAGGCAGAAGTTTTATACACTATTTATATTAAGACATACTGCAACCTGACAAACATTTCCAGACACTAGCAATAAACGCAAGAAATTTGTTTCAGAGATACAGGAATTACTCTTGCATCTAGCTCTTTTATAAAACACATGGAAGACTAACTACTTTTACTAAGAAGCTGTATTCTTCACATTTGTGGTCATTCAGAAGACCCCCACCATCCACTTATATTATGAAGTTTCTAAATGTTCAAGGTCTGAATGGAAAACACACACTATCGTCTCAAAACCAAAAGGAGAAAACATGGTTTTTAAGATAATTAATGGACTTAGGGAATGAAAATTTATGCAATAGGAAAATTAGTCCTGTAGAACTAATACAACTAGAAAACCCTAAGTACATAAACCATAGCAACACAATGACATTTCTTTATCCCAACAAAACAGATAAATCCTCATAAGACAAGAATGTGTATTTGTTCATACAAAAGGGAGACAGTGATAATTTAAGAGTGTAGAAGTTAATGTGTAGAAGCCTCAAAAAGGAGGTGCAAAAGGTGCAAAAGTACTTCGAGTAGGTGTCAAGGATGCACGTGAACTGCACTATGCCCCGTCAGAACGCTTCTTCCTAATGGACTGCACAAATGACACAAGTGTCCGTCCCTTCAGCTACAAAGCAAAATCAAGGCAAAATAAGATGATACAATACAGCCTGACAAAGACAAACCCATGTATTATAGAATGTTACTTACCCATTTAGCATTTGCTTCTTTGATACAAAGCTTTGACTGGAAGGCTGAACTCTACACTACATTATCGCGTTAATTAAACACTGCTCCACAAATTCAAAGTGTGCTCCAGGCCAAACAACTGCTCAACAATTCCTTTGGTGTTCCCCTTCGACAGCTCCCTGCCAGCCAGTGGAGAATGGAACAGCTCAGCAAAGGGCAGCTTTCACCTCCTGGATTCCACCGAGTCCCACCACTGCCTTGCTAAGAACTGCTGAAGGTTTTGCCCCTTACAGTCAGAATCTTTTACTAGACAAACCTTCATCACACCATCGTGGGGCTTGATTCTGGACCTGTTCAGAAGGACTGAATATTTGTCAATTGCTACTAGAAGAGCAACACTCCCTCTGAGGCACTTCTCCTGGATAAAGAGCTAGGGATCCTTCTCCATAATGCTGCAGAATTAGAGCATTATCCTTCAGAGAGCACATTCTGAAACTCCTTTCTGGTGCGATCAGGCATGAACAACTTTAGCCATAAATGATCCCAAAGAATCAGTCTTCCAGAACAGATTACGTCCCTAGGTTCCAGTTCCACTTACCACTGGGGATTACGTGGCATACAAAATAGGAAATTACCATATTTCAAATATCAGTGAGAGATCTCAAAGCCTTTTTAAATTTCTTTTCTACTGGCAACCTCCAGCACCAGTACAGACTGGGGATGAATGGATCAAGAGCAGCCCTGAGCAGAAGGACTTGGGGGTACCAGTAGGTGAAAACTCGGATATGAGCTGGCAACGTCCACCTGCAGCCCAGAAAGCCAATCGTATCCTGGGCTGCATAAAAAGAAGCGTGGCCAGCGGGTCGAGGGAGGTGAGAACCCCCCTGCAGTGCTGCACCCAGCTCTGGGGTCCTCAGCACAGGACAGACACAGAGCTGGTGGACTGGGGCCAGAGGAGGGACATGCAAATGATCCGAGGGCTGGAACACCTCTGCTATGAGGAGAGTCTGAAAGAGCTGGAATTGTTTATCGTGGAGAAGAGACAGAGGAGACCTGTGGCTTTTCAATACTTAATGGGGGCTTATACAAAAAACAGAGAGACTTTTTACAAGGGGCAACAGGTATAAGCTGCAAGAGGGGAGATGGAGATGAGATGTGGGGAATAAATGTTTTCCTGTGCGGGGGGTGAGGCAGTGGCCCAGGGTGCCCAGAGAAGCTGTGGATGGCCCACCCCTGGAGGGGGTCAAGGCCAGGCTGGATGAGGCTTTGGGCAACCTGGGCTGGTGGGAGGTGTCCCTGCCCATGGCAGGGGTGGCACTGGATGGGCTTTGAGGTCCCTTCCCACCCAAACCCTTCTGTGATTCTGTGACTTACATAACGGCAGAACAGTATTCTCCATTCTGGTTTTTGTTCCTTTACTAGTAATTCCTAAAGCTAAGAATTCTTAACATTTGCTTTTATTTTCTTTTCAGCAGCTGTTTATCATTGCAAACCCTCACTTACTAGCAGCACTTCCCTGCTAAAAAGCCCCCCCCTGCACACCCCCAGAGGAGCATAGAGGCAAAACAAGGTGGGGGAACTCAAATAATACCCTGCCTCAGCTACTTCCAAACCCATCCCAGGAGAGCTATCAAGCCGTAAAAGGCTCGTTTCCTTACGCAGAAGAGGAGAACAAAGGGACAGCGAGGGTGTGCAGGCACCAGAACCCCAATTACACGCTTACAGAATCAGACAACCTGTCCTGGCGTCTCCCAGGGCTGTCCCCAGAGAGCCGCCAGCCCCTCGTGCAGCTGGGAAACCATCAACAGCAGCGAAGGAGCAACTCTCGGGAGCACCTTTGAGGGGGCACGGCCAGGGCTATGGGACACGTTATGAGATGCAAGGGAAGAGCATTTGGGGTTTGCATAAGACTTATTATGGGATGCTCAGGAGAGGAACCAGAGGCAGGAAAAGGGAGGGATTTAGGTGATTTGGGGAGGCACAAACACAGGAAGACAGAGGGATGAAAGGATAACAAGGGCTGGTCACATGTAAACAGGCTGCTGGTCAGTATGCCTGTTGGGCACGTCCCACACTGCACACGGGAACAGCTGGAAATTAGTCTGTTCATTTCCAGGTAGGCGTGCTTGTGAGACAGCAGCCATCCCAACTGTAGTTGCAAGGATATATTGTAGCACTTTCAAAAAGGCATTACGAGCTTTTTTTGGCACTACATGATCTTGTATATGTTTTGATTCCTGCCCTGCATCTGGAAAACTATCAAGACTGCAGTTCGCCTATAAAAAAGTAATTTTCACAAGGTATCTGTTGTATAGGTTCTGTAACAAATCAACCATGTATTAATGGCATAGAACATTGAAATCCTGCTCAATTCTTGGATTAACCAATTCAGTTGCTCAGTTCAGGAAACTCATCTGAGATTGCTCAAGTCTTTTCCTTTTGCCAGATTTAGTAAAGCCTCTCAAAAATATTTTTGGACTTGACAAACAAAAAGGGCACAACAAGAACTGGGCAGATATGGTAAGAAAAATACATCCACATGAAGTTTAAGCCTTAAGTCTTAAGGCCCAGGGAAAAAAAAAATCACCACTGGAACAAAATGTTTACGAAATGTAATTGGATTCTCTAAAGTGGTGATGAATCTACCCAAATCATATTTTTTCCAGAATGTCCAGCAAAAAGCTGTTGTTTCAGACAAAGGAATACAACACACCAACATTAACTGTATAGCCTGTACTACGTAAAAAGTAAGGCTATATGACAACAATTTGCCTTTTAGACCTCACTGTCTGGACAGGACTGCCCCACATATTCTGGAATTTGTATACCACCGCATACCTACAGCCTTTTCCA